CTCAAGAGCCCAAAAGTGACGACAGTTGCACGTTGCGGATTACCCGTTCGGATTCAAACATGAAGAGCGGGCCCCATAGGGAGGGGGCTCCCGCCTTAGACTTCATCGCAATTCACTCACAGACGAGGCTCCCGCTCGAGACTTCCTCCATATTCAAATCTCAAGAGCCCAAAAGTGACGACAGTTGCACGTTGCGGATGACCCGCTCGGATTCAAACATGAAGTGCGGGCCCCATAGGGAGGGGGCTCCCGCCTGAGACTTCCTCACAATTCACTCACAGACGAGGTTCCCGCTCGAGACTTCCTCCATATTCAATTTCAAGAGCCCAAAAGTGACGACAGTTGCACGTTGCGGATGACCCGCTCGGATTCAAACATGAAGTGCGGGCCCCATAGGGAGGGGGCTCCCGCCTGAGACTTCCTCGCAATTCACTCACAGACGAGGCTCCCGCTCGAGACTTCCTCCATATTCATGTCTCAAGAACCCAAAAGTGACGACAGTTGCACGTTGCGGATGACCCGCTCGGATTCAAACATGAAGTGCGGGCCCCATAGGGAGGGGGCTCCCGCCTGAGACTTCCTCACAATTCACTCACAGACGAGGCTCCCGCTCGAGACTTCCTCCATATTCAAATCTCAAGAGCCCAAAAGTGACGACAGTTGCACGTTGCGGATGACCCGCTCGGATTCAAACATGAAGTGCGGGCCCCATAGGGAGGGGGCTCCCGCCTGAGACTTCCTCGCAATTCACTCACAGACGAGGCTCCCGCTCGAGACTTCCTCCATATTCAATCTCAAGAGCCCAAAAGTGACGACAGTTGCACGTTGCGGATGACCCGCTCGGATTCGAACATGCAGCGCGGGCCCCATAGGGAGGGGGCTCCCGCCTGAGACTTCCTCGCAATTCACTCACAGACGAGGCTCCCGCTCGAGACTTCCTCCATACTCATATCTCAAGAGCCCAAAAGTGACGACAGTTGCACGTTGCGGATGAACACCGCTCTTGCGCTGTGTTGATCTGTGTCCTTGTTCATCCCTCTCCCAGGCTGCGTGGGCTTTTTGGCTTTTGCCAATGAACTTGCCATTGCTGGGGCACGCTGGGAATTGGCTGGCCTGCACTACTGTCCACGTTCGCTGTCTTTTTAAACGTGAAGTGCGGCCTCATAGGGGGGGCTCCCGCCTGAGACTTCCTCGCAATTCACTCACAAACGAGGCTCCCGCTCGAGACTTCCTCCATATTCAGGTCTCAAGAGCTCAAAGTGACGACTGTTGCACGTTGCGGATGACCCGCTCGGATTCGAACATGAAGTGCGGGCCCCATAGGGAGGGGGCTCCCGCCTGAGACTTCCTCGCAATTCACTCACAGACGAGGCTCCCGCTCGAGACTTCCTCCACATTCAGGCCCCAAGAACCCAACAGTGACGACGGTTGCACGTTGCGGATGAATTTTTCGGATTCAACATAAAGTCGGTTCCCATATGGAGGGGCTCCCGCTTGAGACTTCCCTCGCAATTCACTCAAGTAATAGATGATAGATATAGTTAGGGACGGAAGACGAGGCTCCCGCTCGAGACTTCCTTCATATTCAAGTCTCAAGAACCCAAAAGTCACGACAGTTGTACGTTGCGGATGACCCGTTCGGATTCAAACATGAAGCGCGGGCCCCATAGGGAGGGGGCTCCCGCCTTAGACTTCATCGCAATTCACTCACAGACGAGGCTCCCGCTCGAGACTTCCTCCATATTCACGTCTCAAGAGCCCAAAAGTGACGACAGTTGCACGTTGCGGATGACCCGCTTGGATTCGAACATGAAGTGCGGGCCCCATAGGGAGGGGGCTCCCGCCTGAGACTTCCTCGCAATTCACTCACATACGAGGCTCCCGCTCGAGACTTCCTCCATATTCATATCTCAAGAGCCCAAAAATGACGACAGTTGCACGTTGCGGATGACCCGCTCGGATTCAAACATGAAGTGCGGGCCCCATAGGGAGGGGTTCCCGCCTGAGACTTCCTCGCAATTCACTCACAGACGAGGCCCCCGCGTCAGACTTCCTCCATATTCAATTCTCAAGAGCCCAAAAGTGACGACAGTTGCACGTTGCTGATGACCCGCTCGGATTCAAACATGAAGTGCGGGCCCCATAGGGAGGGGGCTCCCGCCTGAGACTTCCTCACAATTCACTCACAGACGAGGCTCCCGCTCGAGACTTCCTCCATATTCAAATCTCAAGAGCCCAAAAGTGACGACAGTTGCACGTTGCGGATGACCCGCTCGGGTTCAAACATGAAGTGCGGGCCCCATAGGGAGGGGGTTCCCGCCTGAGGCTTCCTCGCAATTCACTCACAGACGAGGCTCCCGCTCGAGACTTCCTCCATATACATATCTCAGGAGCCCAGAAGTGACGACAGTTGCACGTTGCGGATGACCCGCTCGGATTCAAACATGAAGTGCGGGCCCCATAGGGAGGGGGCTCCCGCCTGAGACCTCCTCACAATTCACTCACCCACGAGGCTCCCGCTCGAGACTTCCTCCATATTCAAGTCTCAAGAGCCCTAAAGTGACGACAGTTGCACCTTGCGGATGACCCGCTCGGATTCAAACATGAAGTGCGGGCCCCATAGGGAGGGGGCTCCCGCCTGAGGCTTCCTCGCATTCACTCACAGACGAGGTTCCCGCTCGAGACTTCCCCCATATTCAGGTCTCAAGTCAGCGAGTAGTGATGATGATGATGATGATGATGATGATGATGATGATGATGATGATGATGATGATGATGATCGTTCGATGACGATGATGGTGAGTGATCGTGGGATGGTGATGGTGATGCTGATGGTGATGATGATGATGATGAGTGGGGAGTGATGGTGATGGTGATGATGATGCGGAGGAGGAAGCAAAGAGGAGCAGAGGAGAGGGAGGAGGAGGAGGAGGAGGAGGAGGAGGAGGAGGAGAGATCCTGCGCGGAGGGTGTGCAGAGAAAACAAGAACCCCACTTAGGATGGGGGGAAAAATCAAGCTTTCCGCCCCAAGATCCCCCCAAGAGGCCCCTGGGAAGCCCCCAAGAGGCCCCTAAGAGGCCCCCAAGAGGCCCCAAGAAGCCCCCAAGAGGGCCCCAAGACGGCCCAAGAGAGCCCCGAGACGGCCCCAGAGCCGCCCGAGACGGCGCAAGAGGGTCCCAACAAGGCCCCAAGAGGGGCACAAGAGAGAAAACGCGAACTGGAAGATCAAGCTCTCCGCCCCAAGATGCCCGCAAGAGGCCCCAAGAGGGCCCCGGGAAGCCCCAAGAGGCCCCTTAGAGGCCCCAAGAGGGCCCCAAGAAACCCAAAAGAGGCTCCAAGAGGCCCCACGACGGCACCCAAAAGGATTCAAAACCTTTTGAAGAGGCCCCCGAAGACATGCCAAGAATGTCCCATGACGACTTCAAGAAGCAGTCTAGGGTGCTCCGAGGAGGCCCCAAGAGGCCCCCAAGAGAGCCCAAGAGGCTCCCTAGAGGGCCTCCAAGCGGCCTCAAGCAGCATCCAGGAGGCCGGATTGAGGCCCCCAAGAGCCCAGCGGTCCAGGCGGGGACCGAACGAAAATTTCCAGCCGTGGGCTCCCGGAAGCCCAACAGGAAGCCCTAAGAGTTCGACCATCCAGCCTAGTTAGAACTTGAGCACGCGCGAAGTGCGCGCGATGGTTCGAGTAAATATACAGCGCTGCTCGGCGGAAGCCCACCATCTTCGGGCCGCTGGAGTCGGCGCCTATAGTGGGAGCGCACCGACTTCTGCGGCGCCAGACCTGGGGACCCAGGATGGTACCAAAAACATCCTCGTGCTCCCCGTGCTCCGGCCCCCTGCGAAAGAGCCGCCGGCGTCTCGAGAGGTCGTCCGCGCGCGCCTGCAGTCATAGCAGTCGAAGAAGAACAAGCGCCATAAACATTAAGTTTTGGCGCTCCGCGCGGTTTTGTCGCTTCCGCGCGGGACCCCACTGGCGGCACCTCCGGCGCCGCCCCTGGCGCGCTCCGCGCGCCAGGGAGAAGGGTCCAGCGCGGATCCGAGAAATCCGCGCGGAGCGCCAACAGTTTATGTTTATGGCGCTCCTTCTTCTCCTATAGTAAGTGCGCGTACGTATGCGTGGCTACCTGGCTGCTCTGTTGCTCCCCTCGGGCGTAACTGGAAGTTCGTCGCCAACGTCCTTGTCTACTGTGTGCTCGCTGGCCTCTGCTTGGTGTTCAGCTGGTGCGCAGGACGCACGGAGGTGGCGAGGGCATCGCCAGGCCTGGAGGGAAGGAGGGAGGCAGAGAGGGAGGGGGAGAGAACCTTTCACCTCGGGAGGTCTTTTAGTTTTGAGGATCCCCCACCCTGCTTCTTTCGGCGGTGAACAAACACCGCCCCTCCTTCTGCGTAGTCGTATCGTGGTCGTAGTCGCAATCGTAGTCGTAGGCGTCGTCGTCATTTTTGCGCAGCGGGTGCCGCGGATGAATAATGTTCTTCCAAAACCCAGTCCGTCAATCAGGGCGTCGAAAGGATAATTATAGTTTCCACTATTTGACGGGGGTTCTAAAGACCTGTCTCGGTCGACCCTGTACCCCGAATCCGAGGCGGAGCAGGAGGAGGAGGAGGAGGAGGAGGAGGAGGAGGAGGAGGAGGAGGTGGTGGTTGAAGAGATGGTGGTTGTTTCCGCCCCAACTCCTGACCCATGGAGGGCCAGAGGGCCCCCCGAAGGCCCAACACACCACCCAGCGACCGCCGAAGCCCTGCTCCCCCCTCGATCCTCAAAGGTCCGGGGCGAGACCCGGCAGGGTCGAGGAGGTGGCGGCCACGGCGGCAGCCTCCTTCTCCTCCAGATGAGGAGGAGGAAGAGGAGGAGGAGGAGGAGGAGGAGGAGAAGGTAGACAAGGAGGATTGAGGAGGAGGGGAGGAGGAGGAGGTGGAGGAGGGAGGTGGGAGGAGGAGGAGGAGGTGGAAGGAGGAGGAGGAGGAGGAGGAGGAGGATCGGAAGCACACACCCCCTGGCGACCCCCAGAGCGATCCCAACGGCTGGCCTCGGCGCTGGAGCCACACGGCCCGGCGCCGCTGGAGCCACACGCGGGGGCGTATGAGTCCCATACCTCGAAGAAGGAGCAACGCCATAGGCACGAAGTTTTGGCGCTCCGCGCGGATCTCTTGGCTCCTCCGCGCTAGGCCCCCCCCGCGGCGCCTCCGGCGCCGCCAGCCCATCGCGGATCCAAGAAATCCGCGCGGAGCGCCAAAAGCTCATGGTGATGGTGAAGTCGGGCATGGCCCTCTGCGGGAGGAATCTTCAAAAGCAGTACACGAAACAGTTGGGGGACGATTCTTGGGACTATTTTGGCCACCTTGGAGCACTTCATTTTTCGCCCCAAATCCGCCCGTAGGAGGACATGCCCGACCTAAGTGTACGGCGTTTTTTCTTCTTCGACTCCCGCCTCCGCGTGCGAGTCGCCGCGGCGGCTGGGCCCGAATTCACTTTTGTAGGATGCACGCTCTGATGGGCCCATTGTCCGCCACCGCTACCATAGGCAGGAGAGGGAGTTGCAGGAGGAGGAGGAGGAGGACCTTCCCATCCTCCCTTCTCCCCCGTCATATATATATATATATATATATGTGGTAGTAGCTGTGGAAAATATGCCCATCACGCTCTGCAGAACTCGCAGATGCCGAGCGGCCCCGCGTCGGCGCGGAGAGGCGCTCCCCAGGATTGGCTAATGCAGGGGTCGGGCGGCCTGCGCCAGGAAGCACGGCGTGGCACGCTCGACTTAGAATTGTTTTTGATTGCTCTGCAGCGTGCGTTGTTCAGGAGGGGGACACACACACAGAGACATAATGAATCGTCGATTCCTCCGAAATCATGGGGAAATGTGGGGAGTGGGGGGGACGATGGAAAGCCAACAAATATGGGGAAATGTGGGGGATCCTGGGATCTGCGTGTATCTGTTTGTGTGTCCCGGTGCCCCTGTCGTTACGTGAGGATTGCGGGTGAGGGGGGGGGGACGACCCGCTCGGATCCGGGCGTCGCGGAAGCCAACACGACGGCGGGCATTGTGCCCCGTCTCGGGTCACGGGGGCCCTCACGGATCGGCTTGGACGTGATTTTTCACGGCGCTGTATCATTTTTGTGCAGGCGGGGCGACGCGGCCCAGCCGAAGCGCTGCGGTTGAGTCTGGTGGAACGCCCGCTCGGGCGCGCAGGGCTTCGGTGCAGCGCGCAAAGATCAGGAGCAACGATCGGGGGGATAGGCATAGGGGGGACTGCATCGATACCCCAGTCGGGCATTCATCGCCGGTGGGTGGCCCCATGGCTCCACACCGCCCAGGAGGGTGCGGATTCGCTATCGGGGGCCCATCGCCGATCTCTCGGCGATGTATCGCCGATTCCAGGTCGATGCTTCTCCCCTGTGCCAGCCCCCCCCCCGATCGTTGCCCCTCCAAAGGGTGCGAGGCGGTCTGCTTCCCCTGGCTCGGCTTCTGCGAACGCCCCGCGCCGCACGCCCCGCGAGGTGGTGGGCGCCTCGCTGTGGGCGGAGCCGAGCGGCAGCACGCGGGGCGGAGCAGGGCGCACCACGCACGCTGCCGGGGCCTTCGAGGTGCACGCGGGGAGCGGGAGGCGAGGGGGGGAGCCGGGGCGGCAGGGGGAAGGCCAGGCCTTGGCAGCGCCGTGGCGTCACGCCTGGATCCACCTCCTCCTCCTCCTCCTCCTCCTCCTCCTCCTCCTTCTCCTCCTCCTCCTCCTCCTCCTCGATCCTCCTCCTCCTCTGTGCCCACTCTCTGGGGAGGGGGGGGGGGCGCAACGGAAGCGGCCCGAGGGGGCTGGCGCGGACCGGGGACAGGAGCAGCAGGGGAGGCAGCGGGAGAGAGGGCAGTGCGAGGCACTGCGCTGTTGCTCAAGACAGAGCAGTCCCTGTTCAAGGCAGAGTAAAGCAGTGCAGCACAACGCAAGGCAGCGTTCAAGGCGCCGCAACCGATGCAGTCCACAGTAAACGGCTCGATGGCGTAAGATTTCCTGTGGGATCCGGGATTGTTCTGCGGGCGCGCGCGGCCGTCATTCTGTGCTGCGTTGTCTTCCCAAATCTTGGGGGTGTCCAGTGCAAGGGCGGTCGATAGCGACCACGTGCGAGCGTGCGTGATTTCATTGCGCGATGTCTCCCCATACCTAGCTGTCTGCGGCAAGCCCTGCCACAATGCGAGCGCAGCACCGATTAGCATGGCATGATGATTCTGCAGAGCTCTCCCGAGCAGGCTCGGCGGAGGCACTGCTCGAGGTCCCCGCTGGGCACTAAGGGCGCTCTTGGGCTGTCTTGGGCGCGACGAGCTCACCGAGCTCTCGGGCAAGAGCGCCAGAGCTTTTGGAAGCAGGGCGCTGCGCTGCTGCAGCGCGGCGATGGCGTGGCGTTGCTCGATGATTGGGCTGCCCGCCTAGGGGTTCTTGGGCGCGTCGTGCCGGGCTGTGTTCAGCCAGCAGGGAGCGGGGTTCAGCGCAAGCGGGGCTCAGCCAGAGGGCCGGATTGTGCAGCAGGATCCTGCTAGTCTGCATTCGTGTTGTGCCGGGTTGGGGAGCTCGCAGCCCTGGAGGTGGCCTTACAGATTGGCAGAGCCAGGTTTCGAAAGTCCCAGAATCAGCCTGGCGAAGGACCCAATTTGAAATTGCGAATGCCGTCGCTGTGAATACCGCCTTTGGTAGATCTCCGGATGGGGCCAAGAAGCGTGTGAAGGTTGTGCTGAAATAGGGCGCGGCGGCCATGCGGGCGCTGCCATTGAGGCTTTACATAGAGCCCCCTGATAAGGCCACGAAGCGTGTGAGGGGTGTGCCGAACTGGGGCGGGCCGCCATGCGGGCGCTGTCACAGGGGCCTTCGGTGGAGCTCCCTATTGGACAACGAAACGTGGCATGCGGGCCCTGGCAATGGGGACTTCGGTGGAGCTTCCTATGGGGCCACGACACGTGTGAGGGGTGCGGCGACATGGATGGGGCAGTAGCATGTGGATACCGCCACTGTGGCCTTCGGTGAACCTGTCTAGGCGGCCGCGACATGTGTGAGGGGTGTGCCGAAATCGGTTGGGCGGCCACATGTGGTACACCCCCTTGAAGCCTTCGGCAGAGCTCCATATGGGACCACGAAGCGTTTGAAGGGTGGGGCGGCCGCATGTTGTACGCATCCCTGGGGCCTTCGGTGGGGCCCCCTGATGGGGCCACGAAGCGGATGAGCATTGTGCCGACATGGGTGGGGTGGCCGCATGTGGTAGACCTCCCTGGTGCATTCGGTGGAGTTCCTATGGGGCCACGAAGCGTTCGAGGGGTGTGCCGAAATGGGTGGGGCGGCTGCGTGGGGTACACGTTCCTGAAGCCTTTGGTGGAGCTCCTATGGGGCCGCGAAGCGTTTGAGAGACGTGCCGTAATGAGTGGGGCGGCCGCATGTGGTACATCCCCTTGTGGCACTGGGTGGAGCTCCCCGTGGGGTCGCGAAGCGTGTGGGCGATGTGCCGACATGGGTGAGGCGGCCGCATGTGGTACACCCTCCTAGGGCCATCGGCGGAGCCCCCTTATGGGGCAACGGAACGTTTGAGGGGTATGTCGAAACGGGTGGCGGGGCGGCCTCATGCTGCCCAATGGGGGCCAGCTGGAACTCCTTCTGTACGAGACAACTGAGTGTGTGAGGCGTGTGGCGAAATAGGTGGGGCAATCGCGTGTGGTACACCCAACTGGAGTCTTAGGTGGTGCTCCCGTCGGGCCACGACACGTGTGAGGGGTTTGCCGAAGGAATGGGCGGGGCGGCCGCATGTGGTACACCCCCTTTCGGTATGAAGCCACGAAACGTGTGAGGGGTGTGCCGAAATGAGTGGGGCGGCCTCATGTGGTAGAACCCCCCGGGGCCTTCGGTGGAGCTCCCTATGGGGCAAAAAGCGTGTGAGCATTGTGCCAGAATGGGTAGGGCGGCCGCGTGTGGTACGCCCAACTGGGGCCTGAGGTGGAGCTCCCTGTGAGGGCCACGGCCGCATGTGGTACACTTCCTTGGGGTAGGAGGCCACGGAATGTGTGGGGGCTGTGCCGACATGGGTGGGGCGGTCGCATGTAGTAGACCCCCCTGGGGCCTTCGTTGGAGCTCCTATGGGGCCACCAAGCGTGTGAGGGATGTGCCACAGTGGGTGGGGCGGCCGCATGTGGTACACCACCCTTGGGCCGTCGGTGAAATTCCCGAGACGCTCTAGAGGGATGGTTTGGCGAATAAAACCATGTATCACATTCGCCGTTATGAACGGGATAGCGTAGCGAAGAATTCAAATGGTTTGATCGCATCGTACATGTATCACCACCTAGGCAATATCTCCGATCAGCGTTGGGACTACAAGGTTATCGATTTGGGGGGAGAAGGAGGAAGCAGAGCGGGCATCACCAAGACGCAACACCACCGTGAAGCATGCTTGAAAGCATTGCCAATGCTGGCCAGATATGAAATCCGACTTGGCACAAAAAAACCATCGCCAAGCAGCTGTATGTTATGCCATAGTGGCACAAAAGAAACACTTCAAACCCCTAACGTCAGCGTTGGCGCAGGTCCCTGTCGAGAAGGACGCGAGGGGATAGATGAACAGCAGGAGGAGGAAGATAAAAACGGATGAGGGAACGAAGACACCCAATACTCATTGATGTAAGCTCCCCGCGGCTGTATAGCATACCTGCGAGGAACAGAATACGGACGCAGGTAAGAGGGATAGCCCGCGAGAGCCCGCAAGAGCCCGCGAGCGGCAACGACAAAGAGTAACACGTTAAGTGAATGCAGCCCGACCGAGGCCCAGAGCGGACCAGTGAATGCTCAAAGGCGCATCGGCGGCCGGACGGATCAAAGGAGGCCCAGCCGAGGGGCTGCCAATGGGGTCAAGAAAGCCTCCATGCACGGCCCGAGCATCCCACTACGCCCGGGCGGCGGGGGAGGAGGGGAGGAGAGGGGAGGGGGAGGGGGGAAGGGGACAAAGGGGACGACGCGATCGCCCGCGCTTGGCGCTTCGATCCGGTCGAGCGCGGGCCAGCCAGTCGAGACAACAAAGCTCTCGTTTTCATGCGTGGCCTCAAGAAGACAGCGAATCACGAAAATATAGCCAAACAGGCTTTGTCAATCCAAGATTTGGCCCATTTCGCTTGCCACCGTCACTTTGCAGGGATGCAGATTGGAATCCGGGACGGTGCTCATGCAGTTGTTGTTGTTCCGGCTCACGCAAGAGATCCGAAGTCATCGCCCCACGAGCGTCAGACCTGCAAGAAGAGTGTGGCAATATCATGTCTTCGTCCGCTAGCAGAAACATGACCCTTTGCGGGGTGGGGCAACGTTGCTGAATCAACATCAATATATATATATATATATATATATATATACACCTGTATATATATATATACACTCATATGTATGTACATATAGTTGCTATATCGAACCAAATAAATCCAACACAAGAGCGCTATGATCGGCACCTCATAGACGGTTTCTTCTGCAACACAGCCAAAGACGCTTGGCGTTGCAAGCTCAACATACTTCACC